CACACCACCACCATGGAGGATTGGTAAAATGTCCCCACCACCACCGGACGTCTGACGAGTAGATCACATGGCATTACATTAGGCTACAAAAGGAGGTCTTTGTTGGCTCATAGACGATGACATGGCAGCAAAATTAGGTAGCAAAATCCTCCTATGGTATGACTACTATGTCGTTCTTGATTAAATCCGTTGTATATTCATGTTGCACTATGTGTTAGAACTTGAATGAAAACTACTAACTGCATCAGCTGGGGCTACAAAATATTGCATGGCAGCAAAATAGGATTAAAATGCTGCCAAACATAATAAATGATTTTAATATTTTATTCAGGAAAATTAAATTAGCACCATGTACGCCAAAATCATCGTTGCTACATTAGCAGCATTCGGAGACAGCAAACGCTAGTGTTACTTGCCCAGTTAGCAGCGCTTAGTGATAAACGCACATGGCCATTCTTATTATGTACCAGCCATGTGTATGAATGTGAAACGCTGCTAGAGTAATCCTTCGGGCACGCTGCTAGTTCCCATGTACTAGCAGCGTTCGGTGTGTGCGCTGCTAGTCTGAAGGTACCAGAGGCGCCACAATGGCAGCGCGCGGGCCAAACTCTGCTACAGAAGAGATCTGAACGCCACTAATTAGGGTTTACTGCACTAGTGAGAACTGCTGGTAAAACATGAATGAAGACCCATCAGGGCGTGGGGTCTCTTCAAAATAAGAGCTAAAAACAACATCTTTAACTTCTTGTTCATAAAAAGGGGTTTCAGGAATAGCATTATGGTCCCTGGATACTAAGCCGCAATCATCCCAAAAACCATCGCTAAGATGGATATCATGTTTAGGAGAGTACTCAAAAAGCTTCCTATGAAATTAACAGCAATATCAAGAATAGCTTTCTTCCTTCTCTTCTAATTTGCGAGGACATGGAAATAACTGAGTGTTGAGCTCACCCTCAAGAACATCCCTATCCCTTGATCTCTGCCTATCTTTTATCTCCTCAATCTTCCAAATGTCATTAAGCTCACCTGCCACAGTTTTTATTTTGTACTGAGTTAGGAGATAAAGGTTGAGACTGAGAGAGCATATCTAAACAAATATATTCAGCCACCAAAGCTTGCTTATGCATGTTTTTAGCAGCTTTCATTTCTGATTACTTTGCGAGAGCGGTTGGTAGGCT